CCATTTAGTGGGCGCTTGGCACTATCTTGCCTATGACCTTTTTCTCCGCATTTTTTGCAAGTCATAGGTCCTCTGATCATTTTCTTTTCCTTTCCATTTGTTGGAGCTGCATCGTTGTCACATCCCTTCTCACCTTCACCATCGTTGATAAATTCACCATTTTTGGAACCTTTCTTCCTGTGTCCACCTTCCATCCATCCCTACATTCTTAGTTTCCTTCGTCGTCCAACAGGTAGTTTAGCAAGAGGTGCACCAACTAAAAATGGTAGGTCAACTTGTGGCCATTATGTTTTATCTATCATCGGCTCAATCTCTCTTCCATAAGCAGCCCTTAATCTATTGACCGAGTAGTAGTCATGCACAAACTGTTCTAAGTCAACTCCCCAATGGCGAGTTACATAGGTCAATACTGTTGATATGGCTTACCAGTGTGCTGCCATTCAAGACAAGTACAGGTCCTTTGGTGTAACTTGATAATATGCCTCTCAGCTCGGCTGCTATGGTCCCACACCTCTGCACTCCAATTAGAACATGGTACAATTTTCAAGCGTCCCAAATCTCTAGTATTTGCCTTTAGCTGAATCAAAATAGCTGGAAGTATCCTGCCTTCAGGTAGTCTGTATGCAATATTTCTTCTCTTGTTCCAAAGTACCATGATCATTTCTCTGATCTTATCGGCAAGGTCAGCAACAGGTAAGTCTTTATGGTCTCTAATCCAGTTATTAAATGACTCAGCAATATTACTAGTTATGTAGTCACACTTAATTTCTAGATTGAAACAACACCTATACCATAATAACTTATGATTGGTCTGTAACCATTTCACTGCTTATGTTGATTCACTTACTATTTTTGCTATATTGTCATAGAATATGTCCTCTCTGTAAGCCCTTGCCGCAGGATATATCTGGCCAAACCCTCTAAATCTCTTCTTGAAATTTCTGACAAGATGATAAAAGCATTCTCTTTGCTCTGCATTTGGGAATACATACTTCACTGTATTCTCCAAGCCCTTGCAAGCATCAGAACAAACAGCAAGCAGTGGAGGATCACCTATTGCCTTCTTTAATTGTTCCATGAACCAAGTCCAGTTGTCTGTGTTTTCAGAAGCTATGAAGCCATAAGCGAGTGGATACATCCAATTGTGACCATCAACTGCTACAGCTGCGGCCAAGTGACCATTCCACCTTCCATTAAGTGTTGTAGCATCTATGCTCAAATGAGGCCTACAACCTTCTAAAAAACCATCAATGCATGGTTTAAGAGCACAGAAAAAATGGTGAAAATATATTTGACCATCCACCTCAAGTACCTCAATCTCAACAACACTCTCGAGGCACCGCTTCATTACCTCGGTCTTCCACCTAAATAACAGCTCAAAACCCTCTTCCCATTTGCCATAAACCTCTTCAAGAGCTCTTTGTTTACCCCGCCATACAGTGTTATATGCAATTTGACACTTGTGATCTGTCTCCAACTTCTTTTGTAATTCCTTAGCACCAATATTTGGATCAGCTCTAAGGATAATCACAGCCTTGCTAGCTACCCACTTGCAACTTGGAGTTGTAGTTATCTGCCTCATGCTGGACACACACTCGTGCTTATCGACTAAGATGGTTACCTGCAAAACAAAAAATCAATGAGATTGATATTAATTTACATAAAAAATAGAATTAATGAAATAATAAAAAATTTATTCACCTCCACAGTGGCTTGGTCTTTTTGTTTAGTGCCATTTATCCTCCAAGGGCAAGGGCAATCTTCATCACCGGACTTGCAAAAAGCCCTATATATCGTCTTACATGACTTCTGTACTCCTAAATCGAACTCCTTATTGATGGCAAATTGCCGCACTGCCAGCTTGAACTCCTCCATTGTTGGGTACAGTGTTCCTACCTCCATTGATGGGTTGTTCTTATCATATGAAATGACCATCTCACCTGGTATGGCATCACTAGTAGGAATGGCAGCACCATCAGTATCTTGCCCAATCTCATTATCATTCCCCTCTTCATCCATTCGGCAATCAAAGCCTTGTGCAAGTATATTTGTTGTGCCCTCCTCTGTCAATCCTAAAAGCTCACAAATCTGCGACTCACTCATAAGTGCAATACAACCTTCATCGTCATGTGTCTCCACTATTTGTACCGTATCCCAATCAACTCTTTCCAAAATTTTCACATGATCTACTTGGGACCTAAACAAGTGAAATCAACTTTAACTAATATGTACTACTATCGTGGTAAAAAAACAAACAGAAAGCATACAAGCATATATACCTTTGCACTTCAAGAACAGGAAGGTTGCACTCTACTGCCGGAAGAGGAGCAGTTGGAAGCAACGATCTCGCTAGGGCTAGAGCAGTGGACATGCCTTCTGTCGGCTCGTCCAGACATTTTGCTGGACCTTCTGCTGCCGCGTCCACGCCTTCTGCTGTCGGCGCGGCCATGCCCTCCACTGTCGGCGCGGCCATGCCCTCAACCAGCCCGTCCAGGCCAGAGGCAGCGGTCGCGGCCACACCAGAGGCAGTGCCGGTCCTAGGATTGTTGAGGCCTACAGCCAAACTCAAACTCAGGCCCCCTTAATATAAAAATCATATCAATAGTACTAAATTTATAATGGATACTCTCTAACTCATTAATTTATTTACTTCTATAAGAGTGGGTTTTAAGGATCTCCTCTTGAGGAGCTATTCTATCTTAACTGGGTTGGCAAAAAAATTTGTTTCATATAGATTTCTTAGCTTGTATGACTCTTAAAAGATTTATAATGGATACTCTCTGACTCATTAATTCATTTACTTATTTCTTCTTACTCTTTTTTGTCTCCTTTTCTCATTTCTGGAAGACTATTTTTGACATAACATGGTGGTGTTGAAATTTAATAAATAGACAAAAGAAAGCAAATGAAACAAAGTATAATGAATAAATATAGATTGTTATTACGGACTGCTACTTTCTAGCACTAGCAGCTACTAGCTTTCAAGGTGGATGTCAATACATATATACATCGTACATACCTAGGGCCCCTTGGTCTGGGGGACCTGGAATGGCTGCCCCGTTTGCCCCCCTCTAGGGCCGGGCCTGACCAGGGGGCGGCGTGGCTAGGCCACAGCCGGCCGGCACGGCCACGCCTGAAGGCCGAGCAGCAGGGCCAGAGGCCGGCGCGGCTAGGGCACAGGCGGCCAGGCCAGGGCCGGCCAACACGGCCATGACTGAGGGCAACGCGATAAGGGCAGAGGCGGCCGGCGGCCCTTCTGGATCCGGTGGGGGCGAGTTCGTCTCCTCCATGGGCGGCGCGTTGAGGAGGATTGGGCGGGCGGCGGCGGTCAGACGAAACGTCGGAAGATGAAACGAAACGTCGGGCTCATGCAAAAGGATACGTAAGGCCAGAAGGGTAAAAGAGTCAATTAAGGAGCAAAATACATGTATTTTAATTACCAAAGTCAAGAAATACACCAAATGTCATCTAAAACAAAGTCCCAACGTTTCAAGTGTCGTTTTAGCGAAATCGACGATTGAAGTCCTATAGTAGCGAAGCCCATTATTTCGCGTCCTATAATAGCAATTTTCGCGTCCTATAGTGCAATTTTCTCCGGAGATTCGGACGTAGCGTCGGAGACGGGGGCGGTGGGGCTAGGGCTGGGGAGGGGGCGCCGTCACCGCCAGTCAGGCCTCCCCCTGTTGCCCTTGCCTCGTGGGATGTGTGCGGGCATCTCCTTCTCCTCCTTCTCCTTCTCCCTCAGGGGCGGGGCGGCCTCACCTCCCCCCCTATTTTGGTCCTCTCCTGCCCTCCGCTTGCGTTCATAGCATTAGGTAGATTTCCTCCCGTCTTCTTCCTCCCCGCTGCCCTGCCCTGCCCTGGTACGTATCCCTCCTCTCTCCTCGTTTCTTGCTCCCTTGCTTGCTTGCACGCACGCACCACCATGAATGAATCAACCCCCCAGATTTCCACATCCGTACCCAACCCCACGCGTTTTCACTCAACCAATCCAATCTCTTCCCGGCCCCGTCTGCACTGCAATCTCCCTCTCCTCCCGTGACTGAGGCGGAGGTGGGGGGTGGGGGTTCCTGCTTTCCTGGAACAAGTAACTCCTTCCTTCCCCGGCGATGGTGGAGACGAAAGCAAAAGAGAAAGCGTCGTCCTTTTCCGCAAGCCTCGCTTTCGATCCTCCACCGCCCACCCCACCCGTGCCTACTTTCATTTTTTCTTTCTTTCTTTCCCCCTTCTTCTCCTACATACACCTCTGCAAATTGCCAATTTGCCTACTCCGTATGCGTAATCTGATTTTTGTTTTCCTTTCCTCTGATGACTTGCTCAATGCTTCCTGCCCCCCCCCCCCTCCTAAATCTAATGGCTTGCTCAATGTTTTCTTTATCTTCTTCTAAATTCTAGTTTTTTCCCCTATACATACATACATGCAGGAGTAAGGAAGCTGACACCACTTGGAGTTGCTGCCAACCACCGGGCTCGGCTGTCAAATTCTCTATTGGGCAGCCAGCCCGCGTCCAATTCCAACTCCACCGGTAAATCATCTTCATCAACAACAGGAACAGGGAGGTAAATCATCTTCCCTTCCTCTCACTGCTCTGCTCTAGTATATATATTATTATTTTTTTCAGGTCTGCCGTATTGTTGACCATGACAAAGACATCTCCACCGCACATGATTCTTTAGTCCCCATTCTTGGGGTCAAATGTGCAACACATAAATAATGTGGCAGACAAACTTGTTCCAAGTCCCAGTTGGCTACACTACACATGATTCTTCTCCTTTTCTTTAAAAAAAAGAAAGAAACAAAGAAAAATCAATACAGTTCAATTTATGCAAACCGCGTGTTAGCACAGGCAGCTAAGCCTTGTTGTTTCTTCCTCCTCCCTTCCTGTGAAGCAGGGCAGGCTGCAGAGATATAAATAGCGTGCACAAGTTTCCTCCTTGGCATGTCACAAGACAAGAGTATCATTCCTGCTGAGAGGTTCGGCTCCACGCCCCCACCCACGATGGCTTCCTTCTCGGGACACCTCCACCGCGCCCTCTCCACCATGGCCGTCGCCGCCTTCGCCGCCGTCTCCTCCCATGAGCTTCCTGACAAGTTATCCCACCACAGGCTTTCTGATGCGAGCACGAGCGCGGACACGCTTGTATTGCTTCCATCGGCCAGGGCAGATGTTCCAGCAGCGCCTTCGGCCTCTGCCCTTTCTGGCGCGCAGCTACTGCCACGCGACATCCACAGCTTGCGTCTGTTGAAGGCGCCCTTCGCCTCTCTGCCGGTCATGCAGACGGTTTACCAGTACGCAAACTTTGCCAAGACCTCCGGACGAGCCGATGCGATGCCTGCGATTCCTTCCTCGCCATCGGATGTGCTGTACTGCTGGCACCTGCCAGGCCCCAGGGTCTGTGCCGAGTTCCCTGACAGGTCTCAGACGGTCGTGGTCCTTCTTGGGTGGCTGGGCTCAAGGCAGAAGCATCTCAAGAGATATGCCGATTTTTACACCTCCAGGGGCTTCCATGTCGTCACCTTCACCCTCCCGATGTCTGACATTGTCAGTTATAACCTTGGAGGGAAGGCTGAGAAGAATGTTGAGATGCTATCCGAACATCTTGCTGACTGGGTCAGGGAGGAGAGTGGGAAGAAGATTATTTTCCACACCTTCAGCAATACCGGTTGGCTTTGGTACGATACACGTTCTCCTGGATTTCATTCATCAATAATGAGCTCTTATCATGGTTTTTATTAATGCTTAATTTCTTCATTGTTTTAACATTGTAGCTATGGCGTAATTCTAGAGAACTTGCAACAGCAGGATCCTTCAGCGGTGGACAAAATTAAAGCTTGTGTAGTAGACTCAGCACCTGTTGCTGCACCTGATCCTCAGGTACAAAGTTTAGTTAGACTCAGTTAGCTCTTTGCTAGTATGATCAGCAGGAGCTATCCAGTTGATTTCACTTGGTGGTTCTTGTAGCTGTTATTCAGAACTTGTCGTCTGCATCTTGGTTCCCATCTTAATTGCATTTGTATGGCAGACAAAAGTTCCATCATTCCCATCTGAATTGCATTTGTATGGCAGACAAAAGTTCCATCATTCTTTTTTCCCCTTCTTTCACTCGTGCTAGTATTTAGTCATGTTTGCTGTAGATTAACAAATCTGTTTGTGCTGTTTTCTGAATTCAGGTTTGGGCTTTGGGCTTCTCGGCTGCCCTCATGAAAAATCGTAGTGTCACCACAAGGGGACTAGGATCAGACGATCCAAGGTCTGATGTCCTAGTAGTGGAGTCTAACAAGGAGCCCAAGCTGGGAGCAACAGAGGCGGTTCTACTGTCAGCACTGGAGAGTTTCTTTGACGTCGTTTTGAACTATCCAAAGATCAACAGGTACACATCTTGTCCACGTCTGCAGCAAACCATTGGGTTTCAGTCTTATCTTTAAGCCCTCTTCAATTGAGTAGCCCTTTAAGCGGGGATGGGGACATCTGTGACCTCTAACTAACTGCTCACCTCATGAAAGTTAAATAATTAAATTTCTGAATGGCTGTACAGTCACGTCATCGTCCACCATACCATGACATATCTCTGTGGTAGTTGACATTCCATCAAGAGTAAAGTATACATGTGTGTGGTTCACAAAGCAACAAGATGACCTTATAACTGTTGAGCTCATCAGCATGTTGGTGTCCTTTTTAACAGGAGGTTATCTGACGTGATGGAGCTTTTGTCTTCGAAGCAACCAAAGTGCCCCCAATTGTACATATATAGCTCCGCCGACAGGGTGATTCCAGCGAAATCAGTGGAGGCATTCATCGAGGGTCAGCGGAAAGCTGGTCGCGAGGTGAGGGCTTGCGACTTCGTGTCATCGCCCCATGTGGACCATTACCGGAGCAATCCTGGGCTGTATACTTCTCAGCTGGGCAACTTCTTGGAGGAATGTGTGCTTGCCAAGCGCTGTGAGGGAGCTTGCGCATTATGATTATACAAAACGACCAGTTGTTTCTCTTTATTTGTCCCTGGTCTTGAATTGAAATGCACCAGGGACACTGATATACGTGGGTTATACAAAAAAAATCCTGACCTTTTTTTTCGTGTCTTCTCGTTTTAACTGTCTTTGTGGGTGGCCTTTTTATTTCCTCTCTTCTTGTTTTAACTGTCTTTGTGGGTGGAGACGTGGAGTTTGGGCTCACAACTGTAAAAAATGTTGAGGAGAAATAACCAAAAGAAATGAGAGGATTTTTTTTTATCGATTGACTGACAGGCTGATGAATTTCATTCTGATTATGTTACTCGACCTGTATGGATTGATTTTTTTTTTTTTGACATAAAGCAACTTTATTATTAGCAGCAGGAAGCTGCAATTAGGGAAAAGGGTTCCCAAGATACATGTCGTAGTGCCTCACCCAGAGGACAAGAGCCTTCATGAGTTACATTGGAGCAAGTGAAATTTGCTAGATTACATTGAAGCTCAGGAGCTCTATAGGATTGAGAGGCTAGCAAATGAGCTGTATTATTTGAACTCCTATGGATCTTGAGAACTCTGTAGCTTGAGTTAGCCACTGCATTAAGAAATCTTTGTGTGAACGGCTTGATGTCCCACCGAGGGGGAGAGCATAAATCTGGGCCGTTGAAGAAACTTGCAAGGAGCTGATTATCAGTGAGGAAGGAGATATTCCTGATATGGAGCATGGAGGTGATCGATGCAGCAAGCGCAATCCCAGCAGCTTCAGCCATGAGGACACAGTTTACTTGGCTGATTTGAGCCTTGATGAAGAGCTTGATCTGACTGGTTGGGTCTGGATGAAAATTCCTAACCCAGCTTTCCTAGTACTGGAGGTTGGGTCGTCCGGAGTTGTTGAAGCATCTGTGTAGCATCTTGCACCAGGAAGTAGGCTTGGGAGTCTGCAAACATTTTGGTCGCTATGATTTTGGTTGATCCAATTTTCTTGTAAACCTGCAAGAGGGAGCATGTTTGTTTGCAGTGCACGAGCACTGTGAATGTTTTGGGTCTTCTCCTCTTCATTTTTTGCAACATTGATTTCAGCCTCCACCGCGTGCTGTACCTGCAAAACAGACCATTTCTTTCTTTGGAAGCGCGTGTCATTCCTCGCTTTCCAAATGCTATCAAAGTGTGATCATTATTCTCTGGAAATCAGCATCCCATTGTATGGATTGATTGATTGATGCCTTGTTTAGTTCCTCTCTAAAAATTTACATCTTATTTCATCGAATATTTGACACATGCATGAAGTATTAAATATAGATTAAAAAATAACTAATTGTACAGATTGCGACTACTTTACGAGACGAATCTTTTAAGCCTAATTAGTCTATGATTTGACAATAAAGTGCTACAGTACCATATGCGCTAATGACGGATTAATTAGGTTTAATAAATTCGTCTCGCGGTTTACTAACGGATTCTGTAATTTGTTTTTTATTAGTATCCGAACACCTCATACGACACCTCCATATAGCATCCGATATGACACCCCAAAACTTTACACCCTGAACTAAACAAGACATAATTGGTGTGCACGGTTGTCTGCTGATTTATTTGTGGTGTGGTTGATATGGTATGGTCAGCAAATTCCGTTTGTGGTGCTTGCTGCACAACCAACAGGATCCATATCTTTCTTCTTCTTTTGAAACGAACAGGATCTATCTCTTTTGTGGCGTTTTTCACTGAGTGGCCTATGAAATGAACATTAAAGTGAAATTTTGCTGTGAATGACTTTCTTTTTCTTGCTTGGACACGCACTTTGCTGAGCGGCAGGGGCGGATCCAGGCCCCGGGCTAGGGGGGCTGCAGCCCGGGGCGGAGCCCAAATTTCCAATAGGCAAGTCTTCTGCAGCCTATAGAAATCCTTACGTTCAACCCAACATAGCCCCTCCCGCAGCCAGCCCAAGCAGCCCTTTACTAATTAGCCCTCCCTGGATGGTGTTTCTAGATCCGCCCCTGCTGAGCGGTCAATTGTAAAATTTTGCTGCAGAAGACTAGAGTTGGTAATCGTACCATATGAAGTTGAAATCATTAAAACTTAAACTAAACTACTCGTATGGACCGATAAGTAAATTTTTGCCAACCCTCCTTCAATTTGTCGAAAGAAGATCTCATCTAGTAGATTATACTAGTACACTTGAAATACGTTTTTAGCACCCTAAACTCGCTAATAATTACTAGCAGATAAATAAAGTACTTCCTCAATACTAGTAATTCAAGTCGGTTTCGACAAGGCTTGGGTCAAACATTGAAAATATAAATTATGAATAACTTTTAGGTCATTGAGTTTGGAAATATGAAAACCATATGAATATATTTATCTTGAAAAGTACTTTCATAAAAATATGTGACGTGCTGGTGCCCGAACGTCCAACGGGATATGATTCCGACGGACGGCCGTTTCCCGCTCGCCTGCATAGCCTACCCCCACCCCCACCCCCACCCCCGTCTGCTAATTCACCCTGCCCGCATGCGCATCGCACCGTCGTTGCGTCCGTACGGCTCGCTCGCAATCCGCCTCGTCCGCCTTGATTCGACCCGCCCCCATTTGTTCGCCCCGCCTAGTCATGCCCCTGACCACTGGCCCCCAGCGCGCCGCGCACCACATCCGCCGTCCACCGGCTTGCTGCGCCCCATTCCCTGGCGCCCATGCCATGCCACCATCACTTCCCTGCGCCCCCGCGCCCCCTGACTCTCCAAAAAACATGAAACACGTGAAGCATGAAACACTTGGATGTAACATATGTCTGAAATAGATGAAATATTTGGAACATACACTTGCAAGATATGTGTGAAAACATATGCAACATCCAGATTGAACACTTGCAGCTTGCAACATGAAAACACTTGCTGCAACGGAAGACTAGAATAGATGAAGCATTTGGAATATACTGTTGTTGCAACATATGTGTGAAACATATGCAACATCCACATCAAAACGCTTGCAACGTATGTCTGGAATAGATGAAGTATTTTGAACAAACTCTTCCAACATGTCTCTGAAACACTTGCAACATATGTAACATGTGCAACATCCTCGATCTACTTTTGCAACATCCATATCAAACCCTGCAACATACCTATGGAACGTCTGAAACTCTAGGAGCGCCTATGCAGATCAATTCCGGCTGTCGGTGTGGGAGCTGGCGGTGAGTGGCGGCACGCGAGCACCACTAGCATCCAGCACCAGCGGCGCACGCGAGCACCAGCGCCGGGCTTAGGTCGGCCAGGCGGGAGGCGCGCGCGACAAGCAGAGTGAGCACCACTAGCACCAGCGCGCGACAGGGTGCGAGCGAGCGGCAGCGCATGGGGTGTGCGGCAGATAGCAGCGAGGGGAGTGCGCGTCCGCGTCCAGGACGGCTGGACGGGGTAGCCGCAAGGTGCTGCGACAGGTGAGGAGGAAGTGAAAGGGATAAAGATGGGGTGATTTGTTTTTATAAACTCACGGACAGAGCAAGCGGCGAGGTAAAAGCGCGAGCAACAACCTATTTTTAATAAATATAATAAGACTGTCTCCAACGGTAAGAACGCAAACACGAGACCTATCTCAGGATTTGAGTCACGTACAGGAAAGGGTCACGCCCCCAAAAACCTTCCTTCTCCAACGACGAACCCAAAACAAGACTCCCAGTTTTCTCCGCCTGGTGCCGCTTGCTCCTCCGTCTTCGTCTTCCCCGCATTGTGCAGAAGAGCGGCAAGGGAACGAGCGCACGACACTCAAGCGCTCAGAGCTGGGTTCGCAGCACAACCGCCAACAACGAACGCTCAAAGCACGAACAGGATGGACTCGTACGAACAAAAGAAGGGGAAGGAAATGGGCGGCCAAGAGAATCGACGAAAATCGAGCCAAATCAAAACAACTCGGCCCCAAATCTCACACAGGTGATCTCCATGATGTTGGTGAGCTATCCCAGCAGAATCATGGCTCGAACCCAACTCAAACTTCGTTAATTTCATATCACAGCCAAGAACGCAAAACCTTCCCAGAAACGAAAAACAGAGCACAGTGAATAACGAAAATCACAAGCAAGAATGATAAATCCCAGAGGAGAAAAGGAGGATTTAGGCTTCCATTCCCACACCAAATCATAGCAAATACACCACAAAAATCACAGATTTTTTTATATCTCTCAAGAAACACTAGAAGCGCTGCCACGGGGGTCCGCCCGCGCGGGGGGTGGGAGGAAGGGAGGGGGGGCGGGGGGGCCGGCCGTAGCAGGCGCAGGCGCCGCCGCGTCGCGCCCGTCGCCGCGTCGCCGCTTCGGGAGGGAAGGGAGAGAAATGGAGGGAAGGAGAGAGAGGGAGAGAGATGCGAGGGAGGAGCAGAGGCAGGAGAGAGGGGAGGGACCGCCGGTGGTGTTGCTGCCGGGAGGGGGCGCCGCGCAAGCCGCCTCCGTCCCCACCGCGAGCGGCACCTTTGACGTCCGGCTCCAGAGATTTGCATCGTCTCTTTCTCGAGACGCTTATTTGTGTTTCGATTCGGTTTAAACGCAAAATGCGTCCTTTGTTTGGGTCATCCATTGGAACGTGATTTTGGTATCCAAAACAGTGTAAAGGACCTATTTTGCGTTTGCGTTGTATTCTCGGAGACAGTGAGTTATGCTATGAATACCGCGGAGATGTGAGTACCGTGTGAGTACAAACCTGCCCGTTGTGTTTGTAGGGCGGGCCCCAGCCCAGCCGCCTCCCCTTTCGTCTCCTCCTCTGACCCTTTCCTTCCCTTGGTTGATGGCGCCACCGCGCGCCGCCGCCGGCGGGTCAATTCCTCCTGATCCTGCCACCGCCAGGCCAGAGGCAGCAGACGCGATGTGGCTCCAAACCCTCTCCGAGCCCGAGCTCGTAAGGCAACCCCACGCACGACCGCTCTTGTGAATTTCTGATGGAGTAGCTAGCAACCAAATGGGGGTTATCCTTTGTTCAGGATGTGTTGGTGAGCCTGAGGGAGCTGGCCGTCACGCGGGCCTCCAACGCGGCCATCCTGCCCTAGCCGACACCGTCTTCCATCTCCGCGCGCTGCGGGCTCTCGGTATATCTCGTTATGTTATATAAATATATATAAATGTTCCCTTCTTAATTCATTTGCCATTTTATCCCTTGCTGCTGCCCAATTTGTTTTGCCTGATATTGCTATTAGAGATAAAGATTGTTTTGCCTGATGATGAGGGAGCAGCAGCAAGGGAGAGAGAGATTGTTTTGCAATGCTGCAAGAGATTGTTTTGCCTGCTATCCCTTTTTAATCCTACCTTGATAAGGATTAGGATTAGGACATATAAAAAAAACTGCAGTTGTGAATTTTCCATTGCTGCACCTGACCTGACCTAATACTTAGGCATGCTGTACAGGGATTGTTTTGGTGGAAGAGTTGAAAGAGCGGCTGTGGCAAAGCTCAGCTAATGCAAACGCGCTGGACAGGCTTGCGTTGCTAAATGATCCTGAGACTGAGGCGGTCAGGCCCAGCCAAGATCATCAGATGCCGGTGCCAAATGGTATCCACAAGAAACGAAAGCAAAGGCATGCATAATGATCGCTGCTGCTTGTGTTCTTTGTTGTTACCAAGATTACATAATAAGCAAAATATCTGTTTGGTTAGGGGGTAGCAAGACCATCACACAAATCTGCATAATAATCATTGCTAGATAAGATGACTCTCCAACTTCTGCTTTGTGGTGTTTGAGCGCTTGCATAAGCACTGCATGCTATGCCACCCCAAATTCAGTGGCTAGTATATATATGCTTGCTAAACCCCGCCCCAGCAATTCAGTTCAGTTGGTGTTGAGACGATTATGATATCATATGTTGGCATTCAAATGCAGGTGGGATGCAGAGGGTGTCCAAAGTCCAAAGAGACGAAAAGCAAGAGAGGAGTGACCTGATCTCTGAGGATTTACAAGGCCGATGCTATTGCTGACCAAGTAGAAGAAGCAAACTAGATATATATCTCTACTGCAGAAGCCTGACCAAGTGGTCACTGAAGAAGCCTGACAAAGTGGTCACTGAAGAAGCCTCCTCTTCGGTGCCAGTCATCTCAACATGTAGCGTCAGGGGCTCACCGACATGAATCCGGAGATTGGCCCTCCCTCCCTGCCACCCATTCTTACCCAAGCAGTTTTGACCAATAGGTTTAGCTTCACCGACTGATGATGATAATGATTTACATGCACTCTTTGTGGTTGATGCCCAATCTTGATCCTGTTCTGATACGTTTCTTGTGCAGTTGGTTCAGATTGAATGATGAACCCTGAAATTCGTTTGGTTATAATTCCGTCATTTTTCATTTCCGATCCTACATTGACTAAAAAACATGTGTACGGAGTATCTTTGATTCAATCTCAACTCTCAAGCACATGTCGCCAATTGCAGCCCGAAGCCCAGAACCTTTTTTCATCTCAGGCAGGTACAAAGCGCACACATCAAAAAATTCGGCTACCACATGCAATGAAACTGCCGATTGCAACATCAACTATACTATATTAATATATATGTAGCATATACCAACCAAAGAAAGCATCTGATTCCGATATGCAAACAGCCGATGCATGCCCACTTTCTAAAGCTGCAATCTGCATGCAACATGATACAAAACGTGCAGCTTCAAACAATGATATATACAATATATAGTTGATCATAGTACAACTTGCACCAACCCTGGAAAAAAGGAAGATGGATAAAAAGGGATGCATTTCATCTATGAGTTATACGATGATGATTTACATAATTTCAGCTCTCCGTAGAGAGCAATTTGGCTATATTATGTCAACTAAAACAAAGCTAATACATTCACAAAGAACCAGATCTACACAAGGTGGTTTCCAGCAGCTAACAATGTCCTTGCCATGTCAACATCTCTCAAATCTACCTGTAGCTGATCTCTTATTCAGTTCTCCGTGTATGTCTTCAGACCTAATAGAACTGGACCCATTTTCAGGTGCCAAAGAAATACCCCTAGAATACAATGTCCAAGGTGCCGCCATAAACGGAACATTGAACATGCCATTTTTAAGAAAGCGGGACAAAATCGATTATGGCTGCAACAAACCTTCAGGCTCCATGACGCGAGTACATATCCCAACCTGACTCTGGCTCTTTTCGTTTCAGCACCAACCCAGAACTACCACCCTGTGACATATTCCTCATGCGTTCATCCACAAACATTGTCTGGCCCTGGTAGGACACGGGCCAGTAGCTCCCTGCCTCCCTACGTGCGCCTTCAGATGGCACTCCATAATTGAAATCCATGCTAGGATGAAAGTAACTCAATTCATTAGATGAGGGTGATGTTGCTCTGGTGCTGAAAGATGGATGAGAAATGCCGAGGCTTAGACCTGACAGCGGTGGTATGACTGGTGCACCCTTTGCATCAACCAAGTACGGACTGCCCCCAGGAGCAAAGAACGCTGGGGGAAAAGGCATAGCGGGTTGAGATGGATAACTGAAAACACTATAGTCAGGAGTATGTGCAAAAGACTGAGTAGGTCTTGGAGGAACTCTTGATTCAGCACTTGGTCCCAGAAAGTGATGCTGGTATTGCTGCCCATGATCTTTCTGCCCTACAACTATCCTCTTACCCATAATTGTGACGGCAGAATGGTCCAACATATCCCTTGAAGGAGTCTTGACAGAAGACCCATCCATTCCTCGCACAGAACCATCAGCGATTGACATGTTATCATTCAAGTCAAAGTTTCTGACTGCAGGTTGCCTTGAAGATGAGGAGGAAGAAGGCTGACTCCAGTTGCCATTAAATTGTTGGCGATTCCACAATGGCGGCACATTGCTTGCAGTGATAGCATCTTCCTCATCACCACATGAGAAATTAAGGTCAAGTTTCAGTCCTCTGCTCACACCAACTGCTTTGGAAGCACCCTTGGAAGGTAGATCAGAAGAAGTAGGCAGGATTGTTGTTGAGAGTGGCTCACCAGAAGTAGCACTATCGCTGTCAGCTACATTTAAATCAAATAGCATGTTGCTTGTTTTATGTGAAGAAGCTGAAAGCGACTTCTCTGCATCAGGAGTCCTCCAAGGTGAAGCTCGTCGAAAGGCACTGGTTGCAGCAGAACCTTTCCACCCAAGTCCACCTTCAAAGTGGAGCCGAGCTGGAAACACAGATGAGCCTCTTGAAGCAGCCACAGCTATAGGCATTGACAAATTGACAGAATTACTAAGGACGGACTTTGGATTACAGTCAGTTTCCTCGGCACACTGATTTTCATTAAGGTCTAAGTTCCCCAGATCCACACTCCGTGTATGTTTTCTACTCAATGGACCGCTGCCATCTGTGATGCCTGATCCATCCTCCTTATGAGATGAGGAACTTCCTGACTTAGCCTCTGTACTAGAAGATTTATTATCATTCAGTTCACTGGCAACAGCTACAGGCTGCCGCGGTGCTTCCAGGTCAGGACTGTCAGCATTCCTGGAATTAGTATCAGGAGAACTACAAAAGGGTCCTCTGTAGTCAATAACTTCCCGCTCCACCTCAATAGCTACCAGACGTGCTACTTCTAGTGCATCTGTATCATCATAATCTGTCAGTCGTGTTGATTTCTCCCCTTTCAATGCAGTGGATTTTGTGTCTGTTGCCTTGGAGGAGTCCCCAAAGCTTGACATACATCTTTGCAATATATAGTCACTGCTCATGTCCATATCATCTGTACTAGATGATGATGTAGGTTCATCTTCTTTGCCTATACTTTCCTCGGACAGATCTTGCAAATCACGGGTTACAGCTGCAAGATGGTTCAAAGTTTCAGCTGTATCCTTCCCCAAATGTAACCTACCAGCTGCAAATGGCTCAGACTCCTTGATACTCGAGCTAGCTGAAACAATACTATCTTCCAAACCCATTTTGCTACTAGCAAACAGCTTGTCAGGTTTATTATGGTCCACAGACATGGCTGCTGGAGTCGAGTCCACCAGTGCATCTTGTCCAGTACCACTCTTTGCATTAATAGAGTTTGACCGGAGTATGCCATTAGTGGGCATTTCTATATCATTGGAAGGAGTTTCCTTGGTGGTGGACTGCCCATCTTCTGAACCCACATGACCTGCAGATGTCGGGGACGTGACCAAGTTTTTCGCATCCCCTAAACCTGCATTTCCATTTGATGAATTCGGTGATGTTAGCCCCAGTGGTTGCTTTGTTGCATCTGCATTGTCATTAGTCAGAGAAGGATCAGACAAAGGTGCATCTGAGCAAGTTGTCGCCTCAGGTTTTGATTCTTCAGCAGGCTCTCCGTCTTGATCCGCTACACTCTGTTTCTTAGTTTCTGTCTTGTGGCTAGCTTCTGGAGACTTAAGTTGATCAGTCCGGCATGCCTCCTCTGCATGAAAATGCTCTCCATTTGTACCATGTTTTGGTACAGCGCTCCACTTGTGACGGAGTGCTCTCGCCTTTTGGTTGATCACGGCATTCCCGTGAGCAAGCAGGTGATCAACAGTACGCATAACTCTACAGGAGGCTGACTGTTCATTGCTGATTGGAAGGCACTCCAACGCAGTCAGTATGGCAACTATAAGATCCTCCGCTGAACCGCTGACATCCCCAACACATTTTTGAGCATCCTGAAGCCAACGGTTGAGAAAGGAAACACCGTTTAGCTGAACGAAATGCTGAAGGCACTCTTCGTTTTTGGTGGATGCTAGTGCGTTGGCAGCCGTGGAGCACTGCCTTATCACGTCGGACATGTTGATGTCGGCGGAGTTTTCCAGCTTGTGCATCTCAGATATGAGCTCTGCGATCCTTGCGACCGTGGAGATGCCATCCTTCATCTCAGTAAGAGTGAAGAAATCCTCAAGCATGGTGCGCTGAGCAATCTTTGTCATCGTTCTGCTACTTTACCCTGGGACCGAATTGTATTATTCTTTGTTGGGTCCCAAGCTGACCAAAACTCATTCATTCAGTTTGGCCAAAATTTCCTGAACAGAGCAAAGAAATTGAGTGAGTAACTGGTAATAATAAGGGCAGAGCGAGCGTGAGAAAAGAATAATCTGTCTATAAGAATGACATGAATATTGGATAGTAATAATGATGGGCAAATACTGATTTTATTTTATTATTATATATGTATGTAAATTATATAGAGCAAGTAACGAAAAACTGGAGCAGGACAGGATGGTAAGAGGTTGGAATACCTGCGGTGCCCTGGCAGAGTGATATCATGGCCTTCAACAGTGATGACCGACTCGCCAGCGTTGAGGTTTCCCTGCGCAACAGAAAGTAGCAGCACGAACTGAGCAATGTCCTGCAGTGTTTTTTTAGGGCAATTAAGACTCGAAACAAAAAGAGGCTTTGGTCGCTTGCTAATTTTGAGAGTAAATATGTACGGTATTATATCTGTGACCAGTGACCCTAACTAAGTTTTGCATCTTATCAAAAAAAAAAACTAAGTTTTGCATGATTTTGCAGAAATGAAATGAAATGCACTGCATGGAGAGAAGAAAGAAGGGTAGATGTAAACATGTGTGGTTTGTGCGGCGCCGAAAGAAAAGAGAGGCGTTTCATTTGGATGGATGGGTTAAAAAAATGATACATACATCTAGGGAATGGAAAATTGAATGGATCGAGAACGTGCGTGGGGCATGGGGATTGAGCTAGAACCGGGGGCGGCGAGGCGACCTCTCCCCAGAAAAAATAAAAATAAAAATTTGCAGCATGCAGGGAAGGCTGGAGGCGTCGCAAGCAGAGAGGAGGAGGATGTGCCGCCGGAGACGAGGAACGGAAATAGGTAGAAGGGGGAAAGAACATGATAAAGCTAGGTTAAGTTAGGTTAGGGTTTCTTACCAACCAAACACGAGGGAGGAGGAAGCGAATCGAAGGATCCCGGCCGAATTGGGGGCGGGCGGCGGGTGCGGACTCCACGGAGGAGGAGGGACTCAGCCGAGGAGGAGGGCGACGGAGGGGAGGAAGAGGAAGAGCAAGAGGAAGGGAGGCTGGATCTGGAGGGGGGAAGGAGGGAGGAAGGCAGGCGTGTTGGGTTGGGTGTTCCGCTTCCTCGCGGGGACACACACAGAAGAGAGAGACGGCGACGGAGACGAGAAAGCGAGGGGGCAAGAGAAGACGGCACGGGACACCTGACTGTGTCTGTGTGCGCCTGATGACGAGGTCACTCCGTCGCCTGTTCCGCCCTTCCTCCCGTCCACTAGCTTGGGCTTTTTTTTTTTTTTTTTACCCAACAAATCAATGACCAAGGCCAAAGTAACAAGGGAATTTTATGTATTTACCATTATTAAGATCGTCCCCCATCCGTTTTATATTTTTACGATGGCTCTTACATATTTAGCATCTTTAAAAATCGTGCGTCTTCGTGTTGCCACATTTGCTCGTCTGGCATGCCATGGCGACATGACACTGATGGCGATAGTCGCAGGGTATGACAAAATGACCGCTGCCCTAGCTATTTGGAAGAAGGGAAAAGCGGGCGGGGCGATCGCTTCGCTTCGCCCATTTTTCTCGTCGCGGCAACGCCGACGCCGACGCGTTCTCTTCTTCCCCATGAACTGCCGTCGCCGCGCTTCTTCTCGGTCCCCTTCTTCTCTAGCTTCGCTCCGCCGCCACGCCTGCTCCCCTCCGGGTCCTCGAGCCACGGCCGCAATTTCTTTGCTTTCATGACGGATCGAAGGTACGTGGCCCCGCCGCCTTTGCACCCACATTCCACGGCATTTAGGGTTAGGGTTCATGGGTGTACGCATGGCGGGCGACCCATCCACGCCCGCAGCGTAGCGCGCCCTCGTTCATGGGCTCACAGGGGGCGGCCGTATTCTGCAGCGTGACGTGAGTGCGTCTTTGACGCGTGGCGGCCATAAGCCCGCAATCTGTTTGTGGCCGCTGCCCGCATAAATCGAGAAGCTAGAAACGAGAAGCTAGTGATTGGTTGTGTATGTCCGTGTTCATTTTTTAATTTACTTCACAAATTTTTCTAGTGATCCGTACGTTAGCTAAAAATTATACGTAAATTATAGAAAATACTATGTATCATTAGGAATATGTGTCTGATTTTTTTTACATTTTCCCCCCATTCATGAGCTATCAGAAAAAATGCAAGTTAGCATCTATCAACATACATACAGATAAAAAATCGCTGATGGCTGCTATCACTGCCTCGCCATAAGCTCAGAACAAGTCTAAGCTGGCTGCTGCTTTTCACCCCCCCATATTTTGGTTCTGGCTCCGCTACTAATGGTTGCTCACTTTATCTCCATCCATGTTTTGCTTCGTAGGATTTTGATGTAGTAGGTGGCGTCAATCAATCGAGGTCACAATGGCAAGCAACGACTGCCAGCCTTGGTAAGTGTTACCAACTTAAGATGTGCAGTGGGTTGGATACTCTCTGACTCTGTATTTCGTTCATGTGTGGTTGATTATGCCAGGATCGATCCTGGCTCTGCATTTAGACTAGTTGTTAAAGTCGCTAAATATGTTGCTAATGGTGAGTATGGCCTAGTCGAGATGGCAGAGCAGTAACACGACTTATGGTTTGACAGGAATAGTGAGTATACCCTGGCTTTGTTTCATGAGGATTTAGCCACTAGGATTATATGGGGGGCATCTCAAACACTTTCAGTGTGGGTTCTTGACCATGATACTGGGTCTGAGTGGAAGATTAGGAGGGATGAGCATTTGCAGCAGATGGTTAAGGACAGATGGGATGAGAGGATGGCTTTCATTGCAGTAGATGTTGTGAGCAAAGGTGGGTGTACAGACAAAGGCAGTTCTGCAGCAAGATGTGTCTCTAGTGTCACCAATGGGTCTCATGTTGGACCAAGTCATGTGCCTGATGATGCTGAGGGGTGTGGTGATACTTGCAGATCCCCACCAGCACCCCCACTCCCTACTGAACAGCCTGTAACAGTTGATTGGAATACACTAACCATACAAGAGAATCCTGATGATGATGGCTTGGCTACACAGCTTGTTGATGAGGAACAGGTATATGAGGCAATGGGATTCAAGGAAGTAGAGGCACAAGAAGCCGGCAGAAAAGAGGTTCCCATTCCAGTTATCATAGTAGAGATGCAAGTAGATATGAATGAAGCAGCTGTCAATGTTGATGACACAATTGATGCAGAGCCAATGTATGAATGGGGTAGGGACAATCCAGATATGAGTGTTGGCACATGCTATCCTAGCATGGATGAGTTTAGGCTAGCTGTCAGGCAGCATGCTATAAGGAAGGAGTTTGAGCTTCATACTGAGCATTCAGACAAAGAAAGGTTCAGGGGTAAATGTGATGCTCTGGGCTGTCCATGGTTTATTAGAGCTAGAACCCAGCAGGATGGTAGTGTCAGGGTATAAATTCTGAATTGTTTATGAACCTGTTGTTTTTTGTTTTATAACTGTTACTTTCTGCATTTTACTTTTTTTGTGTTTATTGCCTTGTTTTGTGTTTACTACCTTGGATGTGACTACCAGCATGAGGCAACCTAACATGGGAGCATTTGTACAACACTACTACTTAGTGCAAAAGTTTGAGGCAGCATATGCAGGCATAGTTCCTAACATAACTGATAGGAATCAGTGGCCTGAGGTGGACAAGGGCTTCAAGCTATACCCTCCAACACAGAAAAAGAGAGAAGCAGGTAGGCTGAGGAAGAATATGATTAAATCAGCAAGGGAGGCAGGTAGAAAAGCTACTAGACAAGTCAAGTGCCCTAACTGTAATGAGTATGGTCATAGGGGTGGTAGCTGGAAATGTTCCCTCACTGGAACCAAGAAAAGGTGATTTCTTAACTCATGTATTTAATTTGTTTACTAGCTGTTGTAATTACTAACTTGTTTTGTTATTGTTGCAGGAAAAGAACCAAGAAGAGTAATGTTCAGGTTGGGAGGAAGAAAGCAAACAAAGGTGCTGCTGGTGATGAAGCAGTCACTCCAAGAACCAGAAGAGCACTAGCAAGAGAAGCTTGAAAGGTCCTAATGGCTAGAGAGGAGGGTGAATAGTCTAATAAAAATTTCTACAACAACACTCAACAAAAGGGTTAGACAATTATGAGGCGAAGCAAGTGTTGCGCTAGCCTACTCAAAATGCAAGCCACCTACCACAATTCTAGTTTAGGTAGAATCTACTCACACAATAGCTATGACACTACTCTATGTTAGTGTGCTCCCAAAGGCTAACTAAAGAGCCACACCAACCAACCAAGCAAGCTCTCATAACTAACTACACTAAAGAGCTTGACAACTAGTTTATGGTAATGTAAAGAGAGTGATCAAGAAAGTTATACCGCTGTGTAGATGAAGGAACCAATCAATCACAGGGATGAATAACAATGAAGACCAATCACCTCGGAATCAATGATGAACACAATGATTTTTTACCGAGGTTCACTTGCTTGCCGGCAAGCTAGTCCTCGTTGTGGTGATTCACTCACTTGGAGGTTTACGTGCTAATTGGCTTCACACGCCAAACCCTCAATAGGGTGCCGTACAACCAACACAAGATGAGGATCACACAAGTCATGAGCAATCCACTAGAGTACCTTTTGGCGCTCTGCCGGGGAAAGGTCAAGAACCCCTCACAATCACCACGATCAGGGCCAGAGACAATCACCACCCTCCGCTCGACGATCCTCGCTGCTCCATGCCGTCTAGGTGGCGGCAACCACCAAGAGTAACAAGCGAAACCCGCAGCGAAACACGAACACCAAGTGCCACTAGATGCAAACACTCAAGCAATGCACTTGGATTCTCTCCCAATCTCACAAAGATGATGAATCAATGATGGAGATGAGTGGGAGGGCTTTGGCTAAGCTCACAAGGTTGCTATGTCAATGCAAATGGCTAAGAGAGTGAGCTTGAGCCGACCATGGGGCTTAAATAGAAGCCC